GAAGCCTCCCCCCTCCCAAAATGCGAAAATGTAACCATGTTTTATCGAAACAAAATATTGAAAAGTTATCTCTCAAAGTATTATTGTTCGTGTAATTACAATTAAAAGGGCTTTAGGAATCACTTAAATACCATTTCATATAGATAGTTCATTTTTTTTTTTCAAATTAATTATTGTTATATGTTTATGAAAAAAAATCTTTCGGCCTGAAGCCCCTCCCCCAAATTAAATCCTGGATCCGCTAGTGATACATTGTACCCCTAATGTATGGACATAGTGCCCAACACTTTACAGAGCAACAGTTTTCATATTTTTTGAGAAATAGGGGCATAAATAGAATGAGGGGCTTTTTTTTTTTTTTTTTGTTTTTTAATAACAGCTTTTACTTAGGAAGAAAATAATACCTATATGAAAAAATAAAACAAAAGAGAGAGAAAGAGAGAAACACTTTATTTTCATAAAATATAAAATATAAAGGATTGCTGCCCAATTATATTGGGTTACTATATACACAGCATACTCTTCTATCCTTAGGACAGTATATGAACTTATATATAAATATACAGAAGTAAATTTAAATAAATTTTTATTTTTTATAAAACTTTTATGAATCAATTGTTTACATGTTTTTATTTGTTTAGTTATTATTTAATTAAGAGCTTCTAATGCAAAACCTCAAATTTTTAGGGATTTAATTTTTTTTCTTAGTCGATTACCAAGGTTCATCATTCAAATTAATAAATCACGAGAAAACTAAATTTTAGTAATATTTCTAGTATAAATACTATTAAACAATAATTTCGAAATTTTAGACTTATGAATGTAATTGACTTTTTTAAAACTAATTTGACTCTCAAATTGTAGTATTGTATATTACAAAATTATTCTTAATATTGTTATATGCGCAAGCGGATTTACGGGGGAGGGCTTTCGGGCTGAAGCTCCCCGCCTCAAAATGGTAAAATGTAACCATGTTTTATGGTAAAAAATATTAAAATATTATTTCTTGAAGTATTATTGCTTGTTTAATTACATTTAATAGGATTTGAAGAATCACTTAAACACCATTTCATATAGGTAGTTAGTATCTTTCTGTTTTTCTAAAGTAATTAGCGTTATATACATGAAAAAAAAAGCTTTCGGGCTTAAGTCCCCCCCCCAAAAAAAAAATTAAATCCTGGATCCGCTAATGGTTATATGTTACGTAATTATTTTTATGCTTTTCTGTTAGTATTTAACTTTTAAATATTCAGATTATGAGTTTTAAAAATATTTATGTTTTTACTAAAATTTTAATGTAGTATTCAGATTGGTGTATGGTTAAATATGATGAAATATTGAAACATGTGGGTCACCCTGACAAATTGTGAAACTTTATGTGATACAATTATTTTCCTCTTATAATATTTTCTATTTAAAAATTCTTTTTCAATTCTTAACGAAACCTTGAGTAATGACAAGGAAAATATTTTATAGTTTGAAGTGTGATGTCATTGGCATATTACAACAGGAAATGATAAGACCACTCAGCATTTTCCTCGTAATTTTTCTTGGAATAATTGATTCATAAGAAAAACCGAGCCCCTTCAAATATACGGTTAAACTCACTCTGATAAGCTGAGCGTTTAAATTATCGTCCGGTTAAACGAAAGAAACCGGTTAATTCAGATTGTATAAAACAAACAATTCTAATATTAATTAAACACGCATATTAAATATTAATTAAAATTCACGGGCCAAGGTGTAAGGACGGGAGATATATGCAAGTTAAAAGTAACGCGACGCGAACTCGTTATCATTTTATTATGTTATCTTTTAACTGAGTTGCCAGGCAACGCGCAGTACATGGCGTTAGTCCGCTCGGCCACACCGCCCCCTCAAATTTATAATAAATTAATAATGAAGTATCAAATCTAAGTATGAAGTATCTGGTGTTTTTACACTATGGGTAAGTGAAATTCAAAATTGAGGGACATGAAAACAATCAAAATTAATAACAATACAATTGTTAACGTTGTACATTTATTATAGTCTAAAACTTTTTTATTTATGCTTCTCTGTATTTATTTATTATTTGCTTATTAAGTTTGCCCATTTCTTAATTTAACAAAATTTTATATTATAATAACATTGATCCTTAAAATTAAATTTTTTTTTTTTACAATACAAAATAAAAAGTTATATATACTCGATGATAGAATTTGTTTGAAAATAACCAACTAAATACCCAATATTTAATTTGTTTTTTATTACTTTGAAATAAAAAGGAAGAAACTGTGTAAAATAAGATTTAAGTGCTCCTTAAAACGTGTCAAAACAAAAATAATAATTATAAATAGAAATTCAAAAAAACTTTGCTAATAAGAACAAAAATGCTTTTAGATTTAAATTATTTATATTTTTTTACTTCAAGCATGCTTATATTTAATAGCTGAAATACATGCGTTATGATTTAAGTAGAGCACATATTTTTATTGTGTAAGTATTTACACCCTCAGAATACTCACAGAAACAAATATGGACTAATGAAAAAAAAATATTCTTCAATTTTTTTTATCTTTGGTAACGTTTCAAGGTGAATTTTATGATTTAATTTGATAAAATTTGTCAATAATTTTATCATTTTCCTTGAGATTAACAGTTGTCTCATTTGTAATATGAGATTAATTTATTATCAAAAATACCTTTGTATTTTATGTCACAAGCTAATATTGTAGACTTTAATTAAATATCTAACATTTAATTAAGAACAACGTTGTTTAATGTTTTACACAAAACGCTTCTTTGTTGAATGAAGATATTTTTCCATTATTTGATTGATCATTATTAGGCACGTATTTTTATAATTATTAAAAGAAAAGTATTCCATTGTTTTGTTTTTCTGAGTTGTTGATCAGCGTAACAAAACAATAAATATAACAAAGTATGATCATTGTACGTTTTAATAACTAACTTAATTGATTATTGATTCAAAACTATTTTGTTAATTCTAGACAATTATCTATTATTAAACTAAATACTTATTATGTGTAAACTAGTTAGCATGTAATAATATTGATCAGTAAACAAATGACAAATTAATTACGTAAATTCATAAAACGAAAGAATCATTTCATATTTTTTCGATGATTGTATTCGATCAAAGAAACGAAAATTTTTATAAAATTTTGTTCATGTTATATGCCAAAATGTTTACAAATTACAACTTCTATCTGTGCTTATAATATTCGGAGTTAGATTTTTTTTAAAGGGAATTTAGTAATCTTTGAAATGATCGTGGGTACAATAAAAAAAAATGTATATTTTTAGAGTTATACGAAAATAAAGTTACCTTTTAGTCCATGGTAGAGATATCTTTTTATCGAATTATTAACATCCACCTGAAACTTCGTAAAACGTTTCGTCTCATTGTAACCTACAAATATTTTATTTACGAAAACTCAATTGGGGCATTTACAATTATTTAATTAGGTATTAAAAACTCGTAAATACCCATTTGCTTTCTACTTGGGTCGTAAAATAATTTGGTCTCAAAATCGATAAAAAATTTGCCCACAGAAATATTGAGCCGTTTATCCTATATAATCCCGTTATTTTGATAAATTGGGGTTGTAGGTCAACCCAAATGGATCAATATTTTTCAAGGCCACATTTTTTCCCCGAATTTATTTTATCTTACGATTCAAGTAGAAAGTAAATGGGTGTTTACGAATTTTTACTACCTAATTAAATAGACAAAATTTGCCCCCCTCCAGATTGAAAATGCCCCAATTCCAAGAGTTTTCGAAAATAATATAGTTGTAAGTTACGATGGGATGAAACTATTTACGAGGTTTCAGGCAGATGTTAATAATTCGATAAAAAGGGGTCTGTACCACGGACTATAAGACGAAGGAATCATTACCTATTTTTCGATGATTGTATTCGGTCAAAGAAACGAAAATGGCTATAAAATTTAAAACGAATTAAAATAACCTCTATCTCGACTTATAATGTTCGGAATTCGATTTTTTTTTTTTTTTTTTTTTTTTTAAGGGAATTTAGTAATATTCTTTGAAATAATCATGGATACAATCGAAAAAAATGTATATTCCTAAAATTTCGAAGGGTGATTTTTTTTCCCACCTGAAGATCTTCAAAATGAGGGCTCATTTATTGGATTTAATGAAATTGTTAAGATTACAAATGAGTGAACCATAAGTGTATAATATATGGCTGACGACTGATGTTTTTTAAATTACAATCTACTTATAGCTTTTAATGTATGTGAATTTTTCTTACTTGTTTCTTTGAAGAAATCAGACAATTTTTGAAGGTCAAACACAATTTTAAACACACGTTTCATCTGTATTATATAGAAAATAATGAAATATTTTCTTTTATATATAAGATACATTAATCAGAATTGATTTATAATGATTAAACAAAATAAAACACATGTTTCATCCAATAATCGAATACTTAAACGTAGTGCTATGGCTACATTTTTTATGTTAATTCTGTCAATGATAAATTATTTGAATGTATTAGTCTCCATTTTTTTAATTATTAGTGTAGTTCATAGTATAAAAAACTGTTTTTACCAAAAGCCACAACATATTCAAGATATGGTAATAAATTGTTTTGTTTTTTTTAAATTAGAGTGTGAGAGATGGTTATTGTGTAATTGTGGAGTATTGAGTGTTTTACTGAGTATGGTTTAGAATTTTATTTTTTATTTTTTTTTTAATGAATGTTGAAGATGATGGAGGCTTGCTCATATACAACTCATACTCCTTATTTAGTTTTCGCTCGAGAATAATTTCCCGGAATGGTTTCCTGCTACGCTGAAGTTACGTCACCGTGTGACGATCCGTCGTATGACGAAGGTAGAAGGAGGGACAAGAAGGTGGGAGAGAGAATGACTAGAAATTGTAATGTTTTGCTTTCGGGCGTAGAGAGAGAGAGAGAGAGAGATAGAGAGAGAGACAGAAAAAGAGAGAGAGAGAGAGAGTTAAGGAATAGTGGTGGGGGTTTCATTGTAGGGCAGCGGGAAGGTTGGAACGAAACTCTTCAGTCTTGACGAAGCCATCGTTCGCGTAACGTCCTCGAGAACGCATGGATATAACGTACCTCAGTGCCAGCGACACCGTGCGGTATCCACTCAAACTACTCACTATGCCTTCGAACGCTTCAGGAGGGATCGTCTTCCCGCCAGCTCACTCTAGAACTTAAAACTGTTGTTCTTTTGTTTTGTTTTTATTAATTTTGAGAAACGTGGTAGTGTGTTTCATTTAGCCGTTGTTATTTACTACAATTGTATTATTTTCTACTATAAAAATCTTAGTGTTTTTCTTTTTTTAAAAAAAAACTCTGGTGCGTTGAGAGATATATTTTAATATATATATATTCTGCATCGGATAACAACGACAATTATGGATCACAACGATTCATCGCATATTTCCGAAGTTGTTAACAGAACATTGGTTCCGCTTTTGGTGAACTATATGCCCGCAGTTGTAACTGCTCTAGTGGCCTGGATTACATTAATTCAGATCTACTTCGGCAAAAGGGACGAGGCAGCTCTAACTGACGAAAGTAAGAAATATTCTTTTTATGTGTCATCTTTCTTTTTTATATAAAAAGAAAAAATTAAATCTTTTTTATTTCATTTTTTTTTTTTTAAATAAATCGACATTTTCTCTCATTCCATTTAAAATATAACCTCATTTTTCACCTTCCCTTTGTTAAAAATCATCTCGAGTGACTCAGTATGAGGCACTTGTTTTTGGGTTCGGACGTGTTTGACGAAAATGAATTTGTTTATATTGGACTTAAAATTAGGTACAAAGACTAATTCTGGGCATTGCTGTTCGTATGGTTTCAGACACGTAAGGTTATAAATATCGCGAAGTGTGATTTAAATAGGGTGCTTTAAAAAATGTACATACAATCGCTTCTCCGATGAAAGTCAAATGATAGGATTTGAAATGAAAATCCATCACTTTGACGCAGTGGCAGATTACTCATATATATTTAAGCCAAGTAAGCTTACTTATAACTGATAAGATCTATATTGGTCCTTTTTATAAATAGTACAAATCATTCAGTGATTTTTAATTTTAAATTTTCATTATGAAGTGTTATAAGAAGTGTATTGAAAATTGTCATTACCTTATTCGGTGTGTGTCTAGGAAAAAAACTGAGAAAATTCCAAGTCATCAAAAAGACAAAATTGTGTCACTTAAATTTTTTTTTATAAACTTAATTAATAATCACTTTAGAATATTAATAAACACTTTAATTCCACTATCCTTGAATTCTAATAAAATAAAATAAATTTTTTTATGATTTATAAATTTGTGCAAATATTCTAATAAAAATTAAACACCCTTCTCATTGTCATACAAATTAAAATATTAAAGCAGCCTCTTAGATATTTAAAACAATAGAAACACATTGTCTTTATTATTGGTTCTTCAACTTATTTACAAAGAAAAAAATATGAACTCCATACAGTGTTTTTAAAAAAATAGCAAATTTCCTTCACTCACACAGAAACATTTTCTCAATTGTTTTCAGATTATAATTAGAGAAAAAATATATAGTTTTAATCATTAAAAATAGATAAAAACCCTATCATACGTTTGACATATATTGTGGATTTTTTGCATAAAGTCATCTAGTAACAATTTATAAAATCAAATTACTGTGTATTTTATAGAATTTTTATTTATAAAAGAGTTTGTGTCATTTTGATGCACTTACTGTATCTTTTTTTTTCTTTAAATAGAGCCAAAATTCATACAAATAAGCCTTAAAGTTTAGCTCCATAAAAAATGTACTTAGTGACTTTTTGCTATAAATTGTGTATATATTACTATTATCTATACTTACCGTGGCCTATAATTATTCTGATCCATAACCGAAAATTCAAACTCGTGTACCATCGCTTTTCAAAATTCTTCGACTTTCAGTGTGTTTTTTTTCACACAAAATTCCCTGGATATTTCAAAGTTTCTAATTCTGGTTGAGACGTTGATTAATTTATTTTGTGATTGAAACAGACTCCTCATGTGTGTTTTTTTTAACTACTTCTTTTTTTTTTACACCTTTTTTTTCATTTTACTAATATTTTCTTCATCTCTGTTGCAGATGAAGCGCCTGAACAGAAAATAGACCGGAAGCCTATTGTTGCATCCGTCAATAAAACTGCGAAGAAAAAGCAGCACTCGGAGAAATGGAGCCGAGACCCCAAACAAAACTATTCCCATGAGTGGCTATTAGACCCAAATGATGCCATACTTAATATGGAGTTCAGTGCTAATGGCAAATTCCTCGCCACATGTGCTGATGGTTAGTGTTGATTTTATTATATTTATCTTTATTATTAATATTTTTCATTCTCTCTCATTTTTTTTCCCTATTTCCGAGTACTAAGTAACAGTAATATATCTTCTTTCTAAATTTTTATGATGGATATATTTGGAGTTAACAGTGGTATATAATATTCAGTGATGGTATTGACCTATTTTTTTTTTTCTTTTCAAATTATATTTCTTATCTCTTTGTCAATAAACTGATAGGTGACTAATTACTATCATGATTGAGATTCTTTAATTATTTGCTAAATTAACATCTATCAATTGTGGGTTGATGGTTGATTGTAGTGAATAATTGAAGAGAAGATTGGGGTGATTAGTAAAAAAAAAAACAAAAGGTAAAAATAAATATCTTTTTTTTTTAATAAATATACTTATTTATTTTTACCCCTTTTTTTTTTTTTTTTTTTTACCGATCACCCCAACTATTCTTCTCTTCAATAACATCTATCAAACTTATTATTTTTTGTCTTTGATATATCATATTAAAAAAAAATCTAGTACAAATTTATTTTGAATATTAGAATTTGAATGAGTGTTATTTGTAATGGTAAATTATCAATAGCAGTCATTTACTCTTTCTAAATTTTTAACAACCATAGTAACCCCAATCATTTATTTATTTTTTTTTTTTTTTATATGTTATAATACAATTTCTTGTCTTAAAAAAAAAAAAAAAATTTATTAATGTTAGCAGTCTTTTGCATTATCTTGTAATTTGTTTTCTGAAATTTGAAATATAGATATATAAAAAAAAATGAGAGAGAAATATTAATAAGTTAGTATTATACTAAATAAATTATGAAGACACATGATAATATTTGAAGCCTCTACTAACAAACACAGATAACTCCATATTCTGAAACATTGCAAAAAGAAAAAAAGTTTAAACAATTTACCATTGTGAAAAATAAATGTCTCACACATCAATCTGCCTTTTAGCAAAAATGCCTTCTTTTTTTTTAAAATATATATAGAGAAAAAAATATGGAGTATCCTTTTTTTGTTTGTAGACATTTCATTGTTTAATAATTTAAGTTTTATTAACCCAGTTTAATTATTTTAATAGGCTCTTTTTTTTATATTTATTAAAGAATTTGAAATTAAGTTGTATTATATAGTTTTTTTGTAAATAATACTTTTGTCTTATTTAAAAATTTCTGTGTAAAAAAAAAGTTCATTGATACAACATAACACATTCCAACTCATAAAATTATTCCAAGGTTATTTTAAACTTAGCCTTTTAAAAAGAATAAATTGTGGTTGTTTGACCGATGTTCTGATAACATTGAAATGCTCCTTATCAAATTTTTATGCTAATCAACAACACTGTTCTCTCATAAGTGCAGATATCAATTTTTTTTTTAATCAAATTTTCGATGTTCTAAAATAATTTTTAGTTTTAAATTATATTATTTTATTTTGATTTTTAAAAAGTCATTAAATAAATTTTTATAAAATCACAATAATTTGATGAATTTTCCCTCTGTGTAATTTTGGTTCCTTGAATAAGTTTTTAAAATAATAAATATGATTCAAGTTTAGCTCCATCAAAAGTGTACTCAGTGACATTTTGCAATATGCGTAACATTGTTAGCCAAGCTTTTAACAATTTATTATTAAAGTATTAAACATAATAAATAAAAATTATTTTTATACAGTTATGTCATATACCGCAGAATTATTGAAAAATAGTCTATGAATTTTGACCTTAGTTATTGATGTAACAATGATTGTAAAAATGATACAAATTATTGAAAATAATTTAATTAGTGTTCTCTGATTTTGCAGAGAGAAACTTCTTCATCAAAGCACTTCTTGACTTAATTTTATAAAACATTACTTAATGACTTTTTGAAATAAACCCACAATATATTCTATTCAAGTTGGTAACCTTTAGGTTAATAAAAAAAAATAGTTATAATATAAATAAAAGAGCCTTTAAATGTAAAAGTTTCTATAGGTCTTTTCATAATAAATACTTGAGTGGATTCATATCAAAGACGGACATATGTCATTTTCAAAAATTGTAGAAAAAATCAATTTTTGTTTTATAGGTTCAACTCAAACTATTTTTGATTATTTTATTTAAGAATGTTCAAGTTGAATCATAAAAAACAACCATTAGAGTTGGTCTTAATTGAAACTATGTTACAAAAATGGGCTTTTTCTTAACTTTGTAAAAATGACAGATGTCCATCGTTGGTATGAGGCCACTCAATTAATTGATTACTATGTTTATTTAATTCATGCTCTTAAATTTAAATTCCATTTAATTAAGGATAAGCTTGAAACTCATTATTTTTAACGATTAAATTAAGCTGTCATTCCTTACCAATTAACAACTAATTTTTGCTGATTCATTTTTTAAATTCAATTGTGTTCATATTTTTCTTATACAAATTTTTATAATTTTTATTTTTTGTGCATAGATGATCCTGGTGGAACAAGTGGAAGCTCAAGCAGCAGTGAAGCTAACAAAGAGAATAACAGCCCTGGTAGGTTGACCAGAAGACAGAAGAAGAATAGGGTGAGGAAGGAAGACACCTCGCCGCTGAAAAAGAAAGTAAAGAGAGATATGAGAAAGAAGGGTAGGCATGAAGACCCCTATCCTTTGAAACAGTACATTAAACTGAATTTAAACGATACCGACGTCTTCTATACCCTGAGGAACTATACTCTTTCGGCTGAAGACATGATGACTTTGGGATATCCGGTAGAGAGTAAGTTGTATCCAGGAAGGGCAATGATTTATAGAGCAGGAGCTCTTGATGCAAACGCTAAAGAATTCGTCCCTAGAGATGAGTCCGTATATACCTCTCTCTTGGTCCAAAATTCTGATCAGTTCGGAAAAAGGCAAGAATTCCACATCAAAAGGAACAATGGAATTACCTCGGAAGAAAAAAAGTGTGTGAGATGTAATAAAGGTTTTTTCATGTCAAGTGATGGAGAATATCTGACACAGGAACATTGCAACTACCATTGGGGCAAACTGCACAGCCCACCTTCAGGGGGCATCGAGTGGTTTTATTCATGTTGTAAAGGCCGTCAAGGGACTAAAGGATGTACGACGGCTAAACTGCATGTTTGGAGTGGAGTGGAACCCGGAAGGAACGGGCCATTTGATGGATACGTGAGAACTAGACAAAGGAAGACACCTCCGCAAGATGGTAATTATGGTGTTTATTCTCTCGACTGTGAAATGTGCTTCACAAACACTGGACTTGAACTGACGAAAATTAGTGTTGTGAGCTTAGACGGAAAGCCGGTGTATGAAACTTTCGTTCGTCCTGAAAGTTTTATAATCGATTATAACACAAGGTTTTCTGGCATTACGGCCAAGGATATGTCGAGAAATAGTAAAGTGAAAACCCTTAAGGATGTGCAAAACGATCTAATGGGTTTCATTACAGCTGATACGATACTTGTCGGACACGGTCTCGAAAATGATCTACGTGCTTTACGAATGATTCACTATACAGTCGTTGATACTGCCGTAGTGTTTCCGCATATTCTTGGCCTACCATATAAACGATCGTTGAAGTCACTTACTCACTCCTACCTTCGTAAAGACATTCAGGTGGGGACTCATGATAGTTACGAAGATGCATGCTCTTGTTTGGAGCTCATTCTGTGGAAACTAAGGAAGGATCTACTCCGAAACAACGACAAATGATCTCAAAAATTTTCTGCATTGAGAGAATATTTGGTGTGATAAGTTCCTATAAAGACTGCAGTGAGGATTGTGATAAAATATTGAGTCGTTAATTGTTCTCGAACAGTCGTGAGGGAGATTAGTCATAATTTTTGTACTTTAAAAATACATTTGTGTTCTACCACATGCATTTTCTCTTTTATCCTAAGTAATTGTCATATTCACTCGTATTTATTATTAAATATTTTTGATATAACTTTCTTTTCTTTCTTTCTTTTTCTCTTTCCTTTTCACTTCAAAGTTATTGTCTTAAACAAGACATAATTATACTTTCAAAGAGTTCAGAGGTATCATTTGAAGGGTTCAGGAGTAAAACAACTTTAAAACAGAATTTTTATGGAAAATGATTTAGAAATCACATCTTATAGATTTCAAGTACTAACAACTTATGAATCCATATATCACTTACAAACTGTTTAACATAATGATAAAGTTTGAAATACTTTAGTAGTTTCAAAACTGTTTTTCTCAAAACGAAGTCATGACTTTTAAAGTGGTTTTATACCTCAACCCTTCATTTATGGTTTTAATTTGTCAATTTAAAAAAAAAAAGTATTATTTTTGTAATTGAGAAATAAAGACGATGATTTATAATCAAATTATTTCACTTGATAAAATAAAAAAATGCTAGTTTTTGCCTCTGGTATGGTTAATTACAATACACAGAATTGTTTAATATTAATGAAAATGCTTATTTTAAATATAAGTTTATAATTACCAGATATTATAATTTTACTTAGTCAAATAATTTAATTTTTTGAAAATAATACATTTTATTTATTAACTTCAAGCTGAAGAACATAAACTCATCATAATTCAAGTTTTTTAATAAAAACAAGTACTTCAAATTAAAATTGATTCAAACAATAAAACTAATAATAATAATAAATTTTAATTGACATATAGAGGCTTAAATAAAGTGAATATGGGATTATGTATTTTCATATATTGATTACATATCTAAGTGTAGTAATAATGTTAAAATAACTTTCTTCATAATTATTTTTCTAAGAACTGTGCAGAAATTTTTTTCCTTGTTTTCTTTTTAAAAAGTGGCCAACGTTTCCAAATTTTTTCTTCTTCATTTCCATAAATTTGAAAGAATTATAAAAACATTATCAATTTTAAATATTTCAAAATATTAAATTTTTGAATGAGAAATAGTCAAAAAATAAATAGTGAATTCTTACGTTTTCTTGTGATTTTTATTATATTTGACAGTTATTAGTTAAATTTTTTATTTTCTGTAATAGTCTAGGATATTATCAGTAATTCTTGATCACTCAGAAATGTTGACCATTTAAGTTTTAAAAAAGAAAATAAGGGATTAGAGGAAATATTTTGAAGTATTATATTAAATTAAAACTAGTTGGCCCATGCGAATAATTTGCAGAAAATTTTGTTTAGTGAAGAAATAGCAAAATAATATGGAAATAAGTAGTTCCTATGTATTATGTAAGGAAGGAATTAATATTTTTTCCTTGGTCGATTACAATATTCCATTAAACATAATAGACAAAAATATTTGTACAAATTGCTTTGCTAGGACCTATTTTTAAACGCTGACTGCAAAGATAATGAAAATAATAAAGACAAAATAATCAAATGATCATGGGATTTTCTAAATTATTAAAAAAAATAAAATGTAAGAACAACCAAATGTCTTTAAGAAATAATAAAGTTAATATATCAGCCAGGAAAAACAGTGTAGTAGACTATTCTACTCTTAAGTGCAATATAACAAGAAGACATTATTAAGTATACCAAAACTAATAAATAAATGGAGTGTATCTTTGTTAATAATGGTCCGATTTTTACAAATTGTTTTTTGTTTTGTAGGTAATTTAGTAATCTTTCTAATTATCATGGATACAATCAAGAAAACAATGCATACTTTTTGAGTTATTCGCAAATAAACTTTCTTTTCCTTCATAACTTTTTTTCCAGACATTTTTCGCATGTGAAGGAGAAGAATATCTTCAAAATGAGTGGTCAATCATTGGATTTGACGAAGTTATGGTGTACTGACAAAAAAACTCCTTTTAGAAATTATATACAAACTTAAATTGTTAAAAATAGTTATTTCTAAAATCTTTGATAACATGGTATAATATCACCCACAAAAATATTAAATGAATGTCAATTTCAAATTAATACCCTTACCCAGCTATCTTATTGTGGAGAATCATAGGTTATGCTATATTAAAGATTTTGTAAATCAGTGTTTTATCAAGCTACTGGGTATTCTTTAAAAATAGAAAAATAATGAATTCAAATAGGTGTGAGAGTAGATAGTAAAACATGGAAGCTTTAGGGTATGGAAATATCACTAATTACTTACACTTCTAGTAGAGAGAATAAAAAAAAAAGAATAAATTTCTTCAGTAGTTGTTTGTTTGCGTGTAACTTTGAAATGATCACACTTCTCACATCATTTTGAGTTTATATCAGAATAAGGAAAAATTAGAAAATTATGCTTGAAAACATAAATCAGTGCTGATGACTTTTTTTCAAGAAGTGTATGAACTTCCACTATCCCATGAGCGACATTTTTAAAATAATGTTCGTTTATCGCAATAAGCACATTGAAATTCACAAATATATCCTAAAACTAAAATAGAGAAGTTAACAATTAAGTGGTAGTAAATGTAAGTAAAATAAAATATACTTTGTAATTAAGCAAAAGATACTTTGTTTAAAATGAAATAAGTAAATTGAAACTTGACCCAAGTTGGAAAGTTTAGAATATAAATTATAACATTTATTAATAGACTGCATCAAATTCAATTATTTAAATACATTAATAGAAGAGAAGTTGGTTGGGATGTCTAGTCAAATACTAAGTAAAAATAAATAAATGATTTATTGGAAGGACAAGATAATAGATATGAGAAACTATTAACAGTAAAAAAGAAAATAATAATATGTAGGTGAAAGGTATAGTCTAATATTTATGAAGGTAGAATAAACTTAACATTACTAAATAAGTGGGGAGGCAGAACTATGAAATATAAAATAACGATAACAAAGTTAGAATATACAACATAATGTTAACAAAATTTGGAATTTATGAAAGAAAAAATAATAACAGAAACAGAAAGAAACTTATGAAATAAATAATAACGGCAACAAAGTTAGAGACTAATGAAGTAAACATAATGAAATTATGTAATAAAGAGAATTAATTAACAAAGAAATGTAATAAAATATTATGAGATAAAAACGTAAGTAAGTGTTAGGCATAACTGTGTTTATATTCCTTCCTAACTTAGTTATCATTATTTTATATTTTCTTTATTTATATTTAATATTTCTGCCTCTCCACTTATTTATTAACGTTAAGTTTATTCTACCTACATGTTATTAGACATCTTTCATATAAATATGATGTTTCTCATACCTATTGTTATCTGGTCTTTTCATAACCCTGATGAAGGTCTGAACTTTGGGCAAAAACATTGGCAAAAATAAATATCATTTATTTATTTTTACTTTGTATTTTCGACTGTGAACATCCCAACCAACTTCTCTTCAATTATTCACTACAATCAACCATCAATCCAATATTAAAAATAAATTAATAATTTGTCAGTTAAGTCAAATTAAGAAACAAGCAAAGGGATTTTATATTAGTTTATAAATATCAGATCAGGCCAAGATTATATCAATTATACTGTAGATGGAATTACTGAAATTAACCAGGTGTTGACAACTATATTTATAGGTTGGCTCACCGAGAGGATGAAAAGATCACTAAGGGAAACTATTCGGTAAAGGTAACTATATACACAATTGCGTAGTTTCAGGAATCTGTGTACAGTGTAATCTATATGATCTTGACCAACCTATCAAGAGATGACACATGTGAACTAGCACCAATGGATTTATCAAGATCATATGGATTGTTATGATAATTTCAAATTTGCATATAATTTCCTAATCAGAAAAAGCTCTAGCTGGAAATGGAAGAGTTAGGCATCTCATCAAAACTAATCTGGCTTACAGCTTACACAAAGTGTCAGTAAGAATAAAATAAGTGAAAATTTAGCCATGAAGTCAAAAGAGTTAGGCAAGGTGATTCCATATCCCAATTATATTAAATATTTCTCTAAAAGTTGAGATGAAAAGAGCCAAACTTGGTTTCTTGGAATAATTTTAGAAACCCAAGGCTTTGATTTTGTAATTTTCTAATTATAACCTAATAATTAATTTGTCTCTTTTTGAGTTTTTGCACTTTTATATATTACTTACTATTTACTAAATAAATATCTATGTATGTCCAGGATAAACTTTGATAAAGTAGGATTGGCACAAATTAAATTAATTAATTTAAAAATCCTGACTTAAAATAAAACACACATTTAATAAAATTTGTCAAATTTTATTTTTTAACTGATTAATTGTTTACTAAAAACATTTTAATATCCCAGCTAAGATGAATAGCCTAATGTAATATATAAATCACAAAAATATAAATACATAAAAAATCATAGCTTTAAATTAAAAAAATTATTGTCATATCACATTGACATACCCTGAATAAAAAAAAAAAAAAAAAAAAAACAGTTTCTAGAACATTCGAACTGAACAAGAACTGCAAATAAAAAAAACTATACCATATTTTTTTATAATTAAACTTACATACTAATAATTGAAAATCAAATATTTTATAAATCATCAATATTTTATCATTAAAATGCTCAATGATTTCCTTTCTTTGATTAATGCATCTCAAAATAAGAATATTTCAAAAAAGGGTGAGATTGAGATAAAGAAAATATCTAAAAAACTGTTGATGTCTAAATGACAATTACTAATATCCATAAAGAGGAGTTATTAATAAAAATACTTTTAAGCATTCAGAGTTAATTTTGAATTAAAGTTAATAATTATAATCAAATATATTTTTACATTTCAAAGTTGACAGCAAGAATGCTCCTTTGCCATTAAAACTAAATGTAATCCTCCCTTTTACAAGTTCAGATAGAAACCCGTATGTATGCAGAACATATAATAATACAATTAAGTATATCTTTAGCTAATTATAATAATATAATAAGTAAAGACATATTTAATTTAATAAGAGGATAGAAGCAGTCTGTTGAAGAATAGTTTATAATTATAACTCCATCTTGGTTTTTTAACAAGCTATCACATATTTGAGTCACTTACATCCAAAGTGAAAGTTTATTGATTTATTA